CATTTTCCAGGGGGTTCCCTGGGCTCTCGGGCTGTGGGGAGAGGTCATTGTGAGCCCGCAAGGGCTGCCCGTTGCCCAAGAAGACCCAGTGGTGGGAATGGTCCATGTTGGTCTGGCCTTCAGGCGGGATGCGCTTGTGCCGGTATTTCAGCACAAAGACAATGCAGTTGATGAGGAAGACCAAGATGGCCAGGCAGAAGACACCCAGGAGGGCGTACATGCCTATCTCCAGGTCCGTCAGCCCCCGGGACACCTGGACAAAGCCAGTGGGGATGGTGGGGAAGTCCTCAGTGGGATGAGATGCGCTGGACATCCTACTGTCCTCACTCGGGTCTGCTTTCCTCTCCACCTCTGCCCGCAGGGTGGTACTCGCCCCCGTCTCCCCCAGCCCTGGCTTGCTGGGCACGTGGTCATAGTCATAGGTTGGGTCCTCCTCGGACCCAAAGTGGACCCGCACCGTGGCCAAGGCCGTGAAGAGCACACTCTTGCGCTTGGTCTTCTGGCAGCTCTCGCAGATGACCAGCTCAGCCCGGAGCAGCTCCCCCGTGCCCTCGCTCTCTGCCACCACCAAGGGGAACGCCCGGTCCTGGGTCACCGAGACCACCTTCTCATCCAGGCTGCTCACCACCAGGTTGTAGTCCTTGGGGTCGTAGAGGGAGAGGGGAGCTGTGGTGCCATCGCTGTAGGAAATCCACAGGCTCAGGAGTGCTTCCTGTGGGACCAACAGAGGCACCGGTTGCCCAGCAGGATGTCAGTCCCACCTGAAACTGTTTCTCCATCCCTCCATCCCTCGCTCCTCCTCTGCATCCTTCTCTCCATCCAATTCACCCTTTATCCCTCCATCTTCCCACCATTACCTGTTTTTTCTCTTTAGCCTGTTCTTCTCTCCACGTTCTTCCCTCCCTGTTCCCCATGCTTGCCCAGGAGCACCCCAAATCCCATCCCCAGAAGTGCCAGATGTGGCTACCAGAGCTGGGCTAGGAACTATATAGAATTTCATCTCTCTTCCTTTATCCCCATGGTTGTGTCCTGTCCCCAGGTTGGGCAGGGTTGGATCACAGGTCTGTATGCAGGTTTCTGGGCTGCTTTGGGATCACCAAGGTGTCTGGAAGACAGTGGGTGCTGCCTGAGATGAGTGTGGGCAGGATTTGGGAGTAAGGAGTTGCAGATGGAACCCTCACTCCACCCCACAGTTCCCCACCAGACCCCCCAGGCTCAAATTCACCCCTCCAGTCTCACCTGCTTGAAGAAGCTGAGGGTCTGCTGCACGGACGTCCGGGCAATGATGGTGTGACTATTGCCAGGGCTGGGGTGAAGGGACAGGGAGAGGCTGGAGACCACCTGGGCCTTCAGGTCTGTGATGCTGACCTTCTCCTCTGCCACCGTCACCAGTGTCTCACCCAGCACTGCCTCCACGAGTGGGGACACAACCTGCAGGGGATGAGGGTGCCTGTCACCACCTGCCACCCCCAGCCAAGTGGCAGAGGTGGCAAAAGGCAGTTGGTGGTACCTTGAAGAGTGTGGTGCCTGGCTCCCTCCCAGCCAGCGTGAAGCTGTCCACCATGTGGGCCACCCGCGGGTCATCCACACGCATGAAGTCGCTGACCAGGTCAGTGACCTCCACCAGCCAGTCAGGCCCCAGCATGGTGACCACCTGCCCTGTGCCTTCTGCTGCCGTGGTGTGGAACTGGGTGAAAACCTGCAGCGTGGAATGCTGGTACTGCAGGGCACAGCCCCTGTTCTGCTTCCGCTCCTCCTCGTCCTCCTCGTGCTCGCTGTCCCGCACCGACCTGTGGGATGGGGCACTGGGTGGGCAGTGCTGCCAAGCTCCCCACTGCCACAGCTCTTCAGCCTCCCCCAGGAAAGCAGAGGAGTGACCAAGCAGGGAAAAATGCAATGTCACCAAAAAAAAGGTGGGTCCTAGCCAAAAAATTGTCCACAAGGTATTCAAGAGCTTTAGCAGCACATGGTAATAGAGTCACCAGCATCTCAGCCACCTCAGCTGCTGAGAGGACATGGTATCTCTGCTTAGGATGGACACCTGGAGGTCTCTACATCTCAAACTAGGGCTAACTTTGGAGCTTGGCTGTTCCCAGTTTCATCCACCATTGCCAAAGAAGGCTGTTCCCCCCAGCTCCAGCATGTGAGCTCACTGTGAAATTTTCTTCCTTCCATACAAACATGCAACCTGTGTCCATCAGCTCTCACCTTTCCACTGAGGACCCCTGAGATGACTCTGGCTCCATCATCTTCAAAACCTCCTCATTAAATGGAGGCTAATGGAGCTGCACAAGGCAATTAGCCCACTACCATCACCTCCACCTTGCCTTCCTCCAGGCTGGACAGACCCCAAGCACAGCAGCACCCACCTCCTGTCCGGCAGGATGGGCACCCTCCAGCCCTTCACTTGGCTCAACCGGGCGTCCGAGAGCTCGATGTGCAGCGGCAGTTTGGGCACCCACACTGTCATCTCCAGTGGGGCTGAGAGGTGCTCGTAAGTGAAGGTGACTCGGGCGCTCATGGAGCCCTGCGACTCCTTCCCGCTGACAAACACGTAGTCACAGCTGCTGGAGACCTGGGCAAGAAGAAGGGGAGAGTGGAGGGTTGCAGTGATCCTGCAGACACACTGAGGTCCTGGCAGGAGACTGCCCAGAGCAGGGGAAGTGCTGGAGGAGCAGAATGTCACCTGGCAGGTACCCAAAGGCAGCCCCAGGAACAGGGATGCTCTGTCCCCCCTGACATCCCTGCTCAGTGGCACAGACCCACACACCGTGTCCGTAATGCAAACTGCCCCCTGACCCAGGTGCTCCTGCCAGCCCTCTCCCACTCCCACCCCACCAGGCATGTTCATTTGGTGCCTCAGTTTCTCTCTGATCCCCACACTGAATTATACCCTTTTTCCACACCTGAGCTAGAGGCACCCATGGGTGTTTCACAGAGGTTGCAAATTGCTCATTCTGGACATTTGCCCCGAAATCTCCACCAGCTCTGCCCAGAGGGCACAGGCAGTGAGCAGAGACCAGCCACATGCTCCTACCCACTGGTGCCCTGCCCCTGTCCCTCCTGCTAGCCCCAGAGCAAGCTTCCTGTGGTCTGAATCCTCATGTTCATCTCCCCACTCTTCTCTTTTAATTCCAATTTATGCAAATTCCATTAGTTAAATTTGCTATAAAACAAATATATCCTGTGGGGGGTCACTCATTACCAACCAACTGTGCCAATTAAGCAGCTCAGAGGACACCATGGCAGCATCATCTGGTGTCTCAGCTTAGGTCAACAGAGTCAACAGCTCCTTCCCACCAAGAGTGGCAGAAGACAACTAGGCAAAGGGGACTCCAACCTCTCATCTGCAGTGGCCCCATGGCCCAACCCTGACCCCTCCCTACATCGTCAGGGATCACATCCAAGTCATTTGATGCTTGGGAAAAACAGAACTCGTTTGCTCAGCCAGCATCACAGCCACTCTCAGATGCACTGAGCATCTCAACAGCACAGACAGGCTCATTTCCAACAAACTGCTTCCCAAATGGATTCTCTGATAGCTGATAAGGGGTTGAGTCCATGCTGCAAGGTAGCTGACAGCGGAGGTGATAGCATCCCTTTCTTTCTCCCTACCTTTTCTTTGGGCACCTGTGGTCAACCAGCTGCAGGAACTTTGCATTTCTGAACCCCCAGAACCTCCATATTTCAGCTGCAGGAGTTGCTGCAAGGTGCCTGTGGTCCCCTGGGGCAGGTGGAGGAGGCAGAGCCCAGGACCTGGGCTCCTTGGGAAGTCCTCGCTGCTTGAGCATGGGAGAGAAGTGCAATGCAGGAGGGTTTGTTCCTTGTCTTCCTATCAGAGATACCAGCTCAGCAAGTTTGAAAAGACAATCTCATCTCTGGCGAGGCGGCGTCTGAATAAAGATGAGCTCCCGGGTGAATCCTCAAGCAAAGGATGCTCTGGATATTGTGCCATTTATCACAATAAACACGATGGGCTGCTGCTTGCATTACCTTGCCTAATAAACCACTGGTATCTTCTTCTGGGGAACACTTGCTTTGCAACTGGGGGGTTGAAACTATGACAACAAAAAATCCCAGCATATCAGGCCTGTCCTGATGATGGAGTGACTGCAGATTAGCTTTCAAATGAAGCACACGCTTGTTCGGAGAAACTTCCCGGATTTGCAGCAAGGCATGGGAAGTGAGAGGCTGAGTCTGCCTGGGCTCTGAGCCAAGGCATCACTGGCTCTGTTTTTGTGGCCAGGAGCTCCCTGCTTGGCACAGCCCCAAGCATGGGATCGAGGGGACACATGTTCTGCAAGGCCCTTGGGAGTGGGAAGAGCCACCATGGCTGGTGGCACCCCGTGTTTTCCAGCCAGGGGTCCTGGTGGTGGCAGTAGGTGACCAGGGTTCCTGAGGCTCAGTCTCACTGAGCTGACTTGCTCCTGGTGGGTCCTCCAGGGGATGTGGATGGTGGATTCCTAAGAAGGTTCACACACAGGTGAGGCTGAGCATCTCCCATTGAGCATTGCTGGCAGCAGAGATGACCCTTCCACTTGCTGCATGTCTCTCAACACATGCAGAGCCCCCAGGGTCACCATGCAGGCAGGCAAGGGGGGTTATTTCTACACTGCCTTGAGTGATGACCTCCTCCTCTCTAGGCTGAGCATGGGCAGTCACCACAGAAGGGGATAAGGATGACAACTACCACCCAAGCTCTCCCAGCATCCTTCACAGGTGGCCCTGGTACCTTCACAGCTGTGCCTACACCAGGTCCAGGACACACTCCCTCCACGTTACACATGAGAGCAACCACCACCAAGCCACAGTCAGTGTGGGGAGAAGCAGCTCTCCAGTCCGCCTTCATGTTAAATTATTTACAGTAACAGATAGCACATCCCACTCTGTAAGCTTTGATTTATGTAACAGGTTTATAGCCCTGACACCATAATCATACTCCCCAATCTCAGCAGGTAACTGAGAGCTCCCTCGGAAATGAAGCTCCAAGACAAACACAAAATAATTCAGGAAGAAATTGCACAGGGCTCAAGCAGGAGGCGAGTTGGGGCTGGAGGGCTGCTCCCTGCATTATTCATCCTGGCTCCTGTGCATGTGTCTGCTCCCCCCAGGTCTGGGGACAGTGTGTAAATAGATTTATGAGCAGAAAGGCAGCACATTAAACAGTTTAAGTGTCTTGGAGTCCATCCTGAAGTGTATTATTGCTCCAGTGTTTTATCACGCTGTGGAGGACTGGACTCCATAAATTAGACCCAGTGCTGTAAATTGTACAGCTCAGAGTTTTAGTCAAGAACTTGGGTAAACAGTTTGTGTCACTGCCTGACACCCATGGCCCACTGGGGACAGTGAGTCTCAGCAGGGACAGGTTCTGCCCATCACCCCTGGCCCAGCAGGGAGAATTTGTGGCTGTGGGCAAAGGGGAGAAGGGACCACAACCCCCATGGGGCCTGGGAGACAAGGGAGAGCCTGGACCCCCAGCATGGTTCCCTGTCCCTGCCCAAGGCAGCAGAGACATGCACAGGGTGTGCTGTGGGTGTGTGAGCAGGGAGAGGGGCAGGAGTTTGGGAGAAGGCAACAATGTCTGTGGGTGGATGGATGGAAATGGTGGCAGAATGATCCAGGCAGGTGGGTAGATGGATACGTGCAGGGATAGAAAAATGTTTATGGATGAATGGGTCTGGTTATGAAAAAATCAGAGGATTTGAGGACTGCTGCCTCAGTGGCTGAGACGGATGTGGGGGAACTTGCTGCTGCTGTGCAGTGAGTCTTTTCCATCGGCCTCAGCAGCATCCCTCTAGTGCAGTCCATCTGGCTCCTTTCCCTCAGCCCCTCTTTTCCTTCCATCGTTCCCAGCTGCCTGGCTCATCTCCCCCCACATCACTGAGGCCAGCCCCAGCCCAGCATCTGATCCAAACAGGAAATAAATGTCATTTGGAGAGGCGAGTGCAGCCACTGATGGAAATGTGCAGCTTACATTGCAGGGTGACAATATTTTCCCTTATCAGTGCTAAGTGCTGTGATAACCCATAGTTATTGCTGCTGCCTGGTGCCAGCCTGAGCTGTGTGGGAGCATCCCACAACCTCTCCAGGATCAGTGACATAGTGTCTTGTCCTTCTACAGATCCCAGGTAGAAGCAAGCATGAATTGAAGCCACCAAGGGGATGATGCTTGGGATGGCTGAGCTTGTGTGGCACATCAGCTCAGTCACTAGCCCCAGCTCACTGAGCTCCAGCCTGCACCACTGTTGGGGTCAGCACCCCTGGAAGAAGCTCAACCCCTCATAAGGGTCACAAAAGCCCCTTCCCCACACTCACCTTGATGATGTCTTCATTGTTGGACTTGCACTCGACCATAGCTGAGACGTCCACGATGCCACCACTCAGCTCAATGGCAATGACCTTCACAGGAATGGCCACTGTCCGCCCCGTCAGGATGGCTGTGTTGATGATTTCTGTGTCCTGGGGATGGGGTGCAAAGGGGACCATCATGTTACAGGGCAGCCTGTCCCCCTGGGGTCAGATCCTATCTGGCCCATCTCCCGTTCCAGCCCTGGGGCAGAGAAGGACCTGGGATAGTTGGATGTATAGGTGATATGGGGCAGGTGGGCGATCCCTCAGGGCGACCCAACCTGTCAAAGCAGATTTACTAAGCAGGAGGGCAGGAAACTGCTCACCATGGCCAGGGGCACAATGGCCCTGATGTCCCTCTGGATGACTGTCAGCTCTGTCACCACCTTCTCCAGGTCGGGCGGGGGGTTGCGGCCGCGGTAGTCGATGTGCCACATGATGCGGCGTGTCACCGACTGGCTGGTGAAGTTCTCCATCTCAAAATCCAGCTGCATGATCTCAGAGGAGGAGTCCCCATCCCTGAGCAGGGGGACAGGAGGGGACACTGTGAGCTGAGTGTCCCAGGTCCCACAGACACCTCAAGATCAGTGCCGGGAGGTCCCCACTAGTGATACAGAGCATCCCCAGTGGGCAGACAGGCAGGAGATGGGAGAGGTAGACAGGACCAGCAGAGGATAATGGCCCTGAGACCATCAGCTCATCAAACACCCACGATTTAATGCTGCTGCTGAGGACAGTGGGACACAGAGTTAACGGACAGGGAGGGAATTCTGGGCCACCCCCGATGCAGGAGAGGCTGCACTGACAAATCCAGCACCTAGTGCCAGTCTGAGGGGACAAGCTGGTGTCCCTTGTCCTCTGCATCATGGCTTGGACACAGTCTGATAGTAGCAGCATAAATCACTCTTACACCCCATCCCTATGAGCAAACCTGCACAGATGTAATCCTGCCCTCCCATCTCTGCCTCCAACCTGCAAATCCCTTGGGGACTACTTGGGGTTCAACTCCCCCCACAAGTCAAACTTTTCCATTGCTCCCCAAAAATAGAGCATCCCCAGCAGACATCCCAGAGCCCTCACAAACTGCAACCTTGGCAAAAGCCTCCTTAGAGCAGAAGGAGTGAGGTGGGGGAGGAAAAGTGAAATCCCTGTGGAAGGGGAAGCCAGGACCAGCTCTGCTCTCATCTCACATTGCAGCAGACATTGAGAGGGTCCCATCGATCTGGGGATACAGCATACAGTTGGGTTTCTCTCCGATCAATATCTAATGAGAGAAAGGGAGCAGAGAAAGAGGAGAGCAAGAAGCTGGAACTGGTCCAGGCCACAGCAAGCCCTGATCCCTGATCCTGCAGCAATGATGATGGGCTTTGCAGTGGAGCTGCTCCACTAGGGCTGGTGGGGTCCTGCTGTGCCCCCAAGGCAGTTATGGGGGTGCAAGGAGAATCACCAAAGGCCACCTGGTCTGAAGAAGGGGATTTGGCTGCTCATTGTCCCTTCCAGTGCAGGAGTTCTATATGCTGCTGGGAAGAGCCAGGTTGAAAGGCAAAGCAGAGCTGCAGCTTCCTGCCAGAGCTGGTTCAGTGCTGGGACTCCTTGCCATGGGGTGCCCCGAGGCACCCCAGGAGCCCAGCCAGGGGTCAGCCACCACCTAATGCCCTCCCCAAGCATTGTCTGCTCTCAGTCACAGCAGAGACAAGAGCCAAGCTGCCCAGATTGAGGGATTTATTTAGGATGCAGCTGCTGGGGTGCAAAACACCCCAAATCAGCCATTATCACCCCAAAGCTCAAGGCTCTCACCCCCTCCCTGCACAGCCAGCGCTGCCAAAAGCCCCCAGAGCCCCAGTGAAACAAACTCCTCTGTTTGCACAGCCCGGAGGGCAACACAGCTTTGAGTCATTCATACTCTCCATTCCGTTAATATTTGATGGAGTTGTTTGTCTAAAAGGTGATTGTAATCACTTTAAATTCCTCCTCCGTCTCTAACCTTTGCAGGCTGATTTGAAGCGGCGCTGGCAGCGGCAGAGGGGGAAGGGGGAAAGGAGAGGATCTCACTGCTGGCAGCTCTGGTGTCCATGTGCTGTGCAGGAGTGCTGGGGGGTGTGCAGAGGATTGGGGGCTCTTGTGGCCCTGGGGACAATCCAATATCAGCCACAGGGCTGTGGGCTCACATGCTGCAGTTGCATTTTGTGCCTGGAAGCAATGGTCTGGAGTAAAAGAACATCCACCCTCTAGGTAAGCCCTTTGGAGGGGGTTCTGCAGAGAGCTTTTGAACTCATGTTCAGAGCAGTCAGAGCTGAAGAGCTCCTTTCTGCAAGAGCATGGCCCAAGTTTCCCCTCAGTTTTGGGGTGGGGGACAGAGATATGGGGAGATTTCCATCGCAGAGGGTGGGAATGATTGAGCACATCAACTTGCTTTAGCCCAGCTCCTGGAGGCACTTGTCTCCCTTTTCCCAAAGACACAGTGATGGAGATGTCACAGCCTGGGAACAATTCTTTTCCAACACTTCACAGTCTTTCCTGCTGGTGTTTTTGATCCCGTGCTCATCCTGTGCCCCTCCCCCTCCCCCCCGTGCCCTGCCAGTCCCACATGTCCCCTTCTCCAGGTTGAACAGCCTCTGGATTTCCAACTTGGCTTTGTGGAATCTCTGTCCTTCAGATCATTCCCATTTCTATCCCCCAGGCTCTCCTCAACTGACCTGAGCCTTTCCAGGAGCCCCAGGAATGGGCATCACCCTTGTGTAAAGCAAGGCAGAACTGGTTCTGCCTCTCTTAGGTCCTGCCCTGTGCTCCCCATCCAACACTGGATGAGTATCCATTATCCTTGGGTTCAGATGGAACCTTGCCTGGGAACTGTCCCCCTTCCTTCCCAGAGGAGACACCAGCAGTCAGCAAAGAGCTGCTGCCTCTCATGGCATTAAAACTTACAAAATTAAAACATTTCCACCCTGAAATCCTCCAAGGCTTCACAATTCAGCCCTAAAATCCACTCCACATTCCCACCAGCATCTGACAAAGCCAGGCAATCCCACCTCAGAGACAGGGATGCAGCTGCCAAACTGCACTGATGACTGACATTGCCTGGGGCTCCTTCAGTGCCTCCCAGTCTCACGTTCCAGGCTGTGTACTGATGTGCCTCAGTTTCCCCTGCCACCACCCACGTGGCACTGCAGCCACCCAGACACCCGTGTGGGGGTCAAAAGGAGAACCACTCTAGGCCAAATCCCAGAATTTCCCCAGCACTCCCAGAGGTGAAACCTTACCTGGGCCCAGCACCTTCTGCTCTGGACACATCGACGGTGGCAGTGGAGTGCTTGCCACCCGTCAGCGCCCCGAGCCCCCCAGCCACTGCCCACTCCTCGACTTGGTGCTGAGCAGGTTGACACCTTTCTTGGCCTTCACCCTGTGGAGAGTGATGGTCAGGGCTGGATCCTCACCCCCAAGGCACTCCTGAATCCCCTTGGGTGCCCTATCATAGGCATAGGGGGATTTTTTTGCCCTGATCCCTCCTGGTTGTTGGTAACTTCATCCAGGCTGGCAGAAACAGCCATGGTGCTGAGGCCACCCCAGCCCCTCTTTTTCAAAGGCTTTTATTCCCCCCATGACCCCTCCAGCAGGAGTTTGGTCCCACAGCCCTAGTGCTGCTTCCCAGGGCAGTAACACCCCTGTGGGATTGGGCAACACCGAGGAGAAGGACCAGAGAGCCTGGAGTGCCATATCCCCCATGCCAGGGACCTAGAGGCCACAGGTAAATACCCTTTGAAGAGACGTGGCCAGGGCTTGTACCCCCATCCTTAAGGACGTGCAGCAAGGGAGGGTCCTCCACACACCTACTGGCACTGGGGTGCTCAGCACCTCCTGCCCACTGCCCCACTCTGCTCTCATCCAGGCTCTGGGGCAGGACAAGGGGACATGGGCAGCCTCCACTTGCTTCACAGCAGCCTCATGGCTATACCACACCTTGTCCCTGCAGTGGCCCCACAACTGATGGGGGCACCTATTCCCACTGCAACCTGGAGCACTGGAAATCCTTGATAGACAGCCCTTCCCTCTAGGAGAGCAAAGCCTCAAAACTGCAAAACCACGTGCCAGCTGTTCCTCTGGCCTCCCTCACCTTCCCAAAGTCCTGCCAGACCTCATTCCATCCCCGGCAGGTACAACAACTATTATACACCCTCCCCACGGCTGCCTTTGCACAGCCCTGACGAAACAACCACCCCCGGAGCAGAGACACCGGAGCGTGACGCGCTTACCTGAGCGTGAAGTGCTCCACGGTGGAGTTGGACATCAGGTAGAGGAGGATACTCAGCACCTCACCTGGCTTGAGAGGCTTATCAGGCATTCTGATGAAGACGTTGC